TGGTGCTCAGCGATCGGCGTCTATTGAAAATTTCAGCAGAGCCAACACGCACGACCATGCCCCCTCGTTGAATGCTGGCTCTGCCACTGGTAATATACACAACTTAGTTCAAAGATATGCATGTAGAAACATATCTATAATTCACAGTATATTAAATATTCTATTAAGTGAGAATCATTTTTTGGACGATAATATTTCACTATAATTCAATTATTTTAAGGATAATGCTAGAGGTATATAAGTATCTACATAAGGGTGTCCATAATGTTGATGTGGCATGTGATCCCACCTTTAATTCNTATGTTGATGTTGCATATGATCCCACCTTTAATTCAAATCTGATACTTACACATCTATGAGCGGATGATTGCCACATCAGCATTATGGACAATCTTATATAGATGTTTATGTACATCTAGCATTATCCTTATTTTAATAATATTTTACTTTTCATTTTTCAATACTATTTAATTTATTCAACCATTTGAACAATATTATCTTGTCAACTATTTAGTTATCATCAATGTAATGATTAACCTAAGATGATCATTTCGTGGTTATTGAGACCGAATTAAATCACATGCATTTGATAGATACATTGCACTTGATTGAATAGTAAATTAAATTCTAATTAAACATTACATCAAGTGAAAATTACTTTCTGGATGATTATATCCTTACTATAATTTAATTATTTCAATAATATCTTATTCGTTTTTCAACACGTATTTAATTTATTCAATCATCTGAACAATATTATCTTGTCAACTATTTAGTTATTATTAATACACGTTTGACGATTCATTCCACTTGATTGAACAGTAAATTAAATTATAATTGATATATTCAATGCATATCGAGTGAACTTTTTTTTTACGTTACTTTTCGTTTTTCAATATGCATTTAATTTATTCAGCCGTTTGAGCAATATTATCTTGTCAACTATTTAGTTATCACCAATGCACATTTGACAGATTTATTTCACTTGATTGAATAGTTAGTTAAATTTCAATTGATATATTCAATGCA